TCCCTCGGCCAACCGACCTTGTAATTCAGATAGGCGGCAGCAGCGCTCGGACAGCGAATGACGGCGCCCGCCAGCTTGCAGGATCCATAGCCACGTCGGCCGGTTACCCACCACACCGCCCGCCAGTTGATGATGGCGCTCCTGGAACTGCTCATCGGTCTTGCTTCCCGTATTCAAGGTAGTAGATTTATGTCCTTGTTCTTCGTTTTTTTGACACCGTAGCTGTAGGAGAGAAGGGAACGGGATAGGGAATTGAAGAAAACTGGACACCCGTAGCTGTTAGAGGGGAGGAGAAGTTGAGAATGAAGGACCGTAAGTTGGAAGGAAGAACACCAGTAGCTGTTAGGAGATGAGGACGGAGAAGGAGAATGAAGAAAATTGGACACCCGTAGCTGGTGGGGACAGAGAAGGAACGGAGAAGGAGAATTGAAGAAAAATTTGGACACCCGTAGCTGTTAGGGAGAGAGGGACGGAGACAGTGAGAATTGAAGAAATTGGACACCCGTAGCTGTTCGGCGAGAGAGGGACGGAGAAGGGAATTGAAAAAATTATGGACACCCGTAGCTGTTCGGGAGAGGGTACGGGAGGAGAATGAAGAAAATTGGACGCTTGTCAAGTTTGTTTTGTTTCTGGATCAAGGAATTTGTTGTTTCTGGAAATGGAAAAATTCTCATTAAATTAGGCTATCTATCTATCTACTTATTTATTTAGTTATTCTATTCATCATGTCCATATCTAAAACAAGTCATCCGTTGATTAAAATTTGGGTAATTGCTATTAATATCCCAACCCCGACAGGGAGTCGAGCGGCGCGTGACCGGCCGGAAAAAACATGTTGTGAGGTTTCATCAACGGATCCGCCTAATCCGAACTCCGAATAATTGCAGTAGCAGGTCGGGCGAAAATAAGAGAAACGCGGAGAAGAAAATTGGAATATATGTTTAATATATATACACATATATACACACATACACACATATATACACATGTATACATGTATATATATACATCACACACACACACACACACACACATATATATATGTGTGTGTGTGTGTGTGTGTGTGTGTGCTGTGTGTGTGTGTGTGTGTGTGTGTGTGTGTGTGTGTGTGTGTGTGTGTGTGTGTTGTGTGTGTTTGTGTGTGTGTGTTTTGTGTGTGTGTATATATATATATATATATTATATATATATATATATTTATATATTATATATATATATATATATGATATTTGACACACACACACGATGACAAGAAAATCCTCCCAGCATTTAGTGTATACGTGCAGAGTCACATTGAAAAGCCGTTCACAAATCACGCCCATTACCAACGCTATGAAGACCTGATGTGCTTTTAAAGTCTTCAAATTCACTCAACATAAAGCGCAACTGTAAAAAAAAAAAAAAAAAGAAAAAAAAAAAAAAAAAAAAAAAAAAAAAAAAAAAAAAAGCGCCTGTAAAAAAAAAAAAAAAAAGGTGTTCTCCGCGTTATTTGGGAAAGTTCTCGCCCGCCAGACTGAACCCGCACCTTAAATCTCCCCCACGTGGTCGCTCGCCAATTAGTGGGTCGGTTTTTAATGCTGCCGTTGGTTTTCCACTTGATTTCGAAGAAAATAATTAATCTCTGAAGGATGTTTGTGTATAGCACCCACTCGCATATATAAAATTCACATCACACTCATACATTCATATGTACACACTCACACATAAATACACACATATGCACACACAAACACAAAACATAAATTTCACACAAACACAACACAAATACAAACATAAGTACACACAAACACAAACATAGATACACATATGAACACACACACACACAGACTCACACACACACACACACACACACACAAACGCAGACACATGCGAATCTCGCTGGACAAGAGAAACCAAAACAAAGGTGCCACGGGGGCGCTGGCCCTTCGAAGACGACAGACGAACCTCTTGAACTGGGAGAGGTTCCAGGTCTCTCGGAAAGAGAGGAGAGACAAAGGGTTCAGGGCCCAGAGGTGTAAGGAATCAAAGATCGACCCGAAGGCTGTGTCTCTCAAGATCCCAATCTTCACAGGGCAGAAGCAGCAACACGGGCCCCTTGTAGCTTTGGAGAACAATCGTTCAAAGTGGAATCTATAGAAGAGATGTCTTGTAACAAAGAGGGGTGGAAACAAGAACTGCGTTATTGATGGGCTTTTGAAGCGTGGAGGAGGGGAGTGGAAGGATACAGGAAGGGTATTCCATGCATAGACGGGGTTGACCCACACCGAGTTCAAGGGGACGGAGAAAGACCTCTCGAGAGCTTCCCCGCTTCCTACGACCTCCTTCGGAACTTGGCAGTTATACTCATTTATACTTATTTCGTAATGTTGCTGGACTCGAGTGGTTGCAACGTCATTTGGCAAACACTAATTGGAGATGGAGAAAAATTCATAGTCACTGCTTTGGACAAATATTAATGATGTTTTATTTCAGATTGACAAAGAAAGAAGGATTATTTATGGAGAAACCCGAAGAAAATTATTCCTGCAGACCAAGGACAGAAAAGAGAACAAAATTCCATGGAACATCACTGGAGGAATACAAACAGCAACATACATTATACATAATACTTTCAGCCACAAGAGATAACCGATACATTCAAGATGAACTTCGAGAAACGGAGCAATAAGCGCTTGATAGACTGCACCGAGCAATACAATTATTTGCAACAAGGGCCTCGTCAGAAGATATTCCAAAGAACCAGCGTAACGAACACTCGAAGAAGCAACTTCAGACTCTGAGAACCTACAGCTGACCGTCAGCAGCATCTGACTTCTTGAGAGAAAACAAAGATTCAACAGGAAAGGGAATGAATATAGATGCAAAGAAGGATTTAAAATAGAGGGAAACGTGTCTGCAAAATAAAGGGAAAAGACCAAACACAGCCTATATAAATAACTTGTTGGATTTCCTCATACACGTATGTATATATGTATTTATGTATGTAGGGACGGGATTATACGTAAGTGTGCTATATGCATGTTGAGAAGTATGTATGCATTCATACTTATAATGTGTTCGGTAGATATACATATACTTCAAGACAAATAAATATATGTATACATGCAACCGCACATACACATATTATCTATCTATCAATATTTTATATGTATACATGCAACCGCACATACACGTATTATCTATCTATCTATCTATCAATATATTCATCTGCATCTATCTATTGATCTATCTATCTAAACACATGTATGAAAACACAACGCAAAAATAAGTTTGAAAAATCATAAAACGGAACACACTTTTCTTTCCTCGTGATGCCCGATAAAAAATACTGATAAAAGAAGAAAAAAAAGTCAAAAATATAAAAAGAAAAGAAAGAAAAAAAAAGTCAAAAGGAAAGAAAGAAAAACGAAAAAAAAAAAAAAAAAAAGATAAATAAAAAATAGATAAAAATAAAAAAAAAAAAAATACACGTCAAAAATAACACACGTTCCTTTCCTCATGACCCAAACCCTGACAAAAAGCCAATAGAAAAAAAAAGAAACACAGGTCAAAAAGGCAGCACAAAAGGGTCATTGAGCTGTCAACATGCAGCGGAAAACAAAGACCCAAAGACCGTGTTGCAAAGAACCGCAAAAAATCACCCACGGAAGAGGTAGGTCGAGCGTTTAACTTGTCGCGTTTCTCGGGAAAATAAATCTTTCTTGGCTGGTTGATTCCTCATTTGGCGGCTGCGATGTGGCCGCTCGAGGGAAAGAGTCTTTTTCTTGTGCTTTCGGAAGTCTATATACATTCACACACACATACACATTCATTCACAATACATTCATAGCACACACATTCAAACACAACACATTCATTACAACACATACAACACACACATTCACATTCACACACACACACACACATACACACATCATACACACACACAACACCACACACATAACATACACTTCACATTACACACACACAATTCACATACACTTACACATACAACACATATGTTATGTATACATGTTATACACAGACAGCTAAAAATCAAAGAAAACCTGACCGTGGGGCTGCCACATTTTTTAGCAGTGGAAGAAGGAGGAAAAGATAAAAGAAGAAAAAAAAAGCCAACAAACTCCTTTATTCCGTGCATTTCTTCCCTCCCTTTTCCCGCTTTTCTTAAGAAATTCACGAAGCAAGAACCCATCATGATTGTTTCTTGAAGTTGAAGAATTCCACCTCAGTGTTTGGAAAGGACGGTCACAATTCTCGGGAATCTGACTGGACAAGTCATTTTTCTTTAATGTTATGTTCTCTAAGAATATTTTGAACGTACCTAATAGTTTTGTTTATTTGTCTATTTTCGGTATTTAGATATCAACATTTATACGAACTCGGACTGATGTTCTCAGTACAGTTCCATAAATTATCGCATTAAAGGGCAAACTCAAGTAATTCATTAAAGGCAAGTCTCTCGAAATACCTGTTTGGCGATTCCCATTAATTTCACACACCTACTAATTCAGACTTCACCTGACGTTTATACGACTGATATTACTTAAAGCACTCAGGTAACTTACAAGATTTTAACCCACACTCCCCATAATTAATGAGTTTTTTTTTTCTATTCCCAAATTTACACGTTCATTTCAGGTCACGCTGGGGTCTGTGTGTATTCCGAGTAGGATTTCCAGAAAGGGTTTGGATGAGAATGAATATCTTTACACTATAAGAAATGTATTTAACGGTTTTCGAATATGCATTCGAATACATCTTTCTCAGAAATGCATATATTTCTACACTGAGGTATATTCGAAAACTAGTTAAATACCTCTCTTACATTTTAAGATATTCATTCTCCTCAACTTTTTTCTACATTTGCCACAGTGCATACGGTTCAGACCCTCCTGAGCGAACTGAACTAAAGACATAAAGGCGTGGAAATGAGGTAGTGCTAATTCACTCTCTAATTTACTAATCTCCTCGGGTGGAGGATCATTTCACAAGAATGATTATCTCCTCATCCAAACCGCTTTAGTGAATGAAAGACCTACTTACTCATTTGCGGAATGAAAATGGACCAGGATGAGATCCATTCAAGATTAAATTGGCTGGAAACATAACGCTAAGTGGCATATTTCTAAAACTAATTTCTAATGAGTTGTAAATATGGCCATTGGAGTTCATATACGGTTTTGAAGTCCCATTATATACTTCCTACTATCTACCTTGTGTAACTTCCTTAAACAAAAACAACAACAAAAAAAGTTGCAGCTATCTATCTATTTAAATTGAAGATAGATGTTGATCATATGTACAGCAGGTAACGTAAGGGGAAGTAACATAATGTGAATAAAAGCCTCATAAGGAATAAAATCCAAAGAGGGATTAAAACCTTTTTTTATGGCACTGTACAAAAGAATCTTTTTTTTTTTTCTAAGAATAGATCTTGTGGCAGCGAAAGGGGTCTTATATTATGTATAATATGCTTTAGATATTATTGAACATAATGTCACACTACCAAATATTTTATAACAACTATGAAGATATCTCCAAATAAAACTATCCCATTATGTATTCGATTCAGAAACAATTAAATTGATAAGAGAATTACTCAATAAAACTAGTTAAGAAACAGAAAAAAATAATTATTACTTACCAAGAGGCATGGATGGGTTTGTCATCAATGCACACCCGTATGATGTAGAAAACACACGTTAATAACTTGACCAGTAAAGTGAAAATTCGGACGCGTAGGCCTGTGGGAGAAGAGGAGAGGGCGTTAGTGGAGCCGAGACGAAAGCGGCTGAGGGTGTGAGCACATGTAGGCATCTATCCACATGTTTTTAATAAATCTATTTAGTTGTATACGTATGTATGACATACGCACATATACACAAGCACGAACACGCAAGCACACACACACGCAAGCAAACACACACACACAAGACACACAAGCACACACACACACACACACACACACACAGTTTCTTTATTCACCAGTACAGCAAATAATAGAAATAATCAAATAAATTATATTTCAGATCTGAGACTGAGGTCATGTCTAATAATATACCCAACGGCCGCGCATTCGTGTCAACCTAAAACACACACACACACACACACACACACACACACACACACAAACAATATCCTCTTCTCAGTATTAAGTATTCATAAAAGGACGTACAGGTTTGTTCAATCTATATCTGGGTCATGTTCAATCATGCTTGTTCAATCTTCATCTTTGTATACGTCCTTTTATTAATCTTTTTTCTCTCTTTTTATCATCTGTGTAAAGCCAGTAGAAAATGTTTGCTCTTAGGATGGCATCGCCTGCGGTTGCCAAGACGACTGGCGAGATGCCTGAGGGTGACGGCCTCGGCGACTCTTTCCCTTGCTTTCGAAAACGAGCGAATAATGGGTGTTCGTTCATTAAAACATTCATGTTCGTTAACGAGTAAATATTGTGCATTCGTTGACGAGTAAAGATTGTCTGTGCATTCGTTAATGAGATCGGATTGTCTGTGTATTGTTATGAGTAAAGATTGTTTGTGCATTCGTTAATGAGCAAAGATTGTTTGTGCATTGTTAAGAGTAAAGATTGTTTGTGCATTCGTTACGAGTAAAGATCGTTAACGAGTAAAGATTGTCTGTGCATTCGTTAACGAGTAAAGATTGTCTGTGCATTCGTTAATGAGTAAAGATTGTCTGTGCATTCGTTAATGAGTAAAAATTGTTTGTGCATTCGTTAATGAGCACAGATTGTTTGTGCATTCGTTAATGAGCAAAGATTGTTTGTGCATTCGTTAACGAGTAAAGATTGTCTGTGCATTCGTTAACGGTAAGTTGTCTGTGCATTTGCTACGAGTAGATTGTCTGTGCATCGTTAACGAAGATCGTGTTGCATTTATTAAAGATTGTTTGTCATATTCAAAACCAGTATTTCTCCCGCGAAATATTAAAATATCCTCGTTGCTGTTAGAGCGGCTTTGCATTTTGTAAGCATCTTCCGCCTTTTCACAGTGGCTCCAGACGCAGTTCATCCTATTGTCAGGATTTCTCTCCTCGTCAGAAGGTCTCAAGTAAAATTCCGCACTCTCGTGTTTTTCCTTAGTTTCTTAAAGAGAGAGAGAGGAGCAGAGAGGAGAGGAGGGAGAGAGAGAGAGAGGAGAGAAGAGAGAGAGAGAGAGAGAGAGAGAGAGAAGAGAGAGAGAGAGAGAGAGAGAGAGAGAGAGAGAGGAGAGAGGAGAGAGGGAGGGGAGAAGAGAGAGAGGAGAGAGAGGAGAGAGAGGAGACGGGAGGGGAGGGAGGGAGAGAGAGAGAGAGAGAGAGAGAGAGAGAGAGCAGAGAGAGAGAGAGAGAGAGAGAGAGAGAGAGAGAGAGGAGAGGGGAGAGAGGAAGAGAGGTGAGGAGAGAGGGAGGAGAGAGAGAAGAGAGAGAGAGAGAGAGGAGAGGAGAGAGAGAGAGAAGAGAGAGAGAGAGAGAGAGAGAGAGAGAGAGGAGAGAGAGAGAGAGAGAAGAGAGAGAGAGAGAGATGAAAGAGAAGGGAAAGAGATAAGATAAGAGTAAATAGATAGGTAGATAGAAATAGGATAGGTAGATAGAATAGGGTAGTAGATAGATAAGAAGAGAGTGATGAGAGAGTCGGTATCAGATAGGTGGATAGATATGCGATAGAGAAGATAGATAAGAGAAAGAGAGATAGATAGAGAATGAAGAGATTAGATAAATAAAATAGATAGATAGATAGGCAGATAGCTAAGAGATAGGATAGATAGAAAGAGAGATAGAAGAGATAGATAGATATATATATATATATATATATATATATAAGATATAGATATATAGAGAGAGAGAGAGAGAGAGAGAGAGAGAGAGAGAGAGAGAGAGAGGAGAGAGAGAGAGAGAGGAGATGGAGAGGAGAGAAATAGATAGATAGATAGATGATAGATAGATAGATAGATAGAGATAGAGATAGATAGACAGATAGAGAAGGAGAAACGAATTATCTGTTGGTAAATAGTTCACCGCCTATCCTTCAGGTGAAAGAATATTTAGTGAACAGATTTCTCTTTGTCTCATGAAGCCCAACTATCCAGGTATACGTTGTGATTAATATTTAAGCGGTCCAGTGAATACGTTATTTTAAAGCCATATACATGTATATATCTTTTCAAATCAACGGCACAAACTACGTATGTTTTACATGATTAAATTTCTTGAAGAAGAAAAAAAAAAAATTGATGCATTAGTAGGTCAAATCAATCTATTGGCAAGCTGACAATGCCATTTGATAGACTAACATGACATGCCTGGTATTTATCAAGATACTCCTTATCAAGATATTGAATATATTTAACAATTTATTGAAGGATATGTCTATAAATCTGTAATTAGACACGTGATTGTGGCGGAGAAAATCAATGTCGATGTTTTTTAACGATAGCGCGTAACATTGCTTCCTATTGTGATACGTAAATCACTATCAATATAATTGCTAGTCTTGAGAAAAGGTAAAAAATTACAGTGAGCGTAAACAGATCCACACACACACACACACAACACCACACACCACAACACACACACAACACACACACACACACACACACACACACACACACACACACACACACACACACACACAACACACAACCATTCACAAAATACTAAAGGTAGTTCAATGTGACAAACACAGAAAAAGGTATATTAAGAGAACAGATAATATAACAGATCAAAGGTATTAACTTCATCAATATTACAATTTAATAAAGAGATAGTAGATTCGCGCTAATTAGATCTCTTGCGAAGGTATCCATTTTCGTTCGCACCTGTTCTGCGTGTTCAGTACTAATATAAATACAAATATAAGTGAACAGGAGGATGATCTACATACGATTTGTCTTCGTTATTTCTCGCTGTTACAAAATGAATCACTATTGTAATGTCACCAATATCATAAGAATTATTATTACCATCATCGTTATTATTATGTTTTTCATCAGCGGCGATAAAGCTTGAAGTTTTTCGAAATTATTTTTTTCGTTTCCATTATCATCTAACTGTTTATATTTTCCCTTTAAAAAAATAGAAAGGAGTTTGTCTGTATAAACGCATATATCCAAAGAATGTGATGATTCTGGACTTCAAAACGCATTTCGATATAGATAGATAATTAAATAGATAGCTAGATAGGTAGATAGATAGAGATAGATAGATAGAGATAGATATAGGATAGATAGATAGATAGATAGATAGATAGATAGATAGAGATAGATAGATAGATAGATAGATAGATAGATAGATAGATAGATAGATAGATATAGATAGATAGATAGATAGAGATAGATATAGATAGATAGATAGATAGATAGATAGATAGATAGATAGATAGATAGATAGATAGATAGATAGATAGATAGATAGATAGATAGATAGATAGATAGATAGATAGATAAATAAATAAATAAATAAATAAATAAATAAATAAATAAATAAATAAATAAATAAATAATAATAATAAATAGGTAGGTAGGTAGGTAGGTAGATAGATAGAGATAGATACATAGATAGAGAGAGAGAGAGAAAGAGAGAATGTATATATATCCGAAGAATGTGATAATTCTGGGCTTCAATACGCATCTCGATATTCCAAGTAAACAATACTTTTAAAGTACAGATGTATAATGCGTTGAGGTTATCGTGACAAATAAATTTCGGTGTTACGCGTACGGCACCTGTGTCAGATTTCTCGCGGTTAGGCGTACGGCACACATATGCGTATTCGTATATAGACGTCATTTCCGGGCAATAAGTACGAATCCAACCTAACCTAACTGAGGGTGGTATCATCTCCTCTTGTTTGACACTGCCGTACCAATAGTGACAAAAAGAAGAATGCATAGCTGAGATGAATATAAAAAAAAAAGAAAAAAAAGAAAAAAGAAAAAAGAAAAAAAAAAAAAACACGCAATTAACCTGCGTTGTGAAGTTATTCATTCTTCTCTTATACATTTTCTACATTTGTATAGAAATGTACATAGACTTTAATAATTAGAATTAGAAATTACAGTTTCATATTGCATTTCTTTGTTCATATGGAGTGATATCAGAACAATGATTATATCTCATATGAAATTATTGCAATTCATAACTTTTTTCATATCTTTTCTACGCGTCAAAGTGAAGTCAAGTCCATAATGAAATCAGCTTAAGTGAGGAAAACGTGCATTAAGTGTGTAACATCTATTGATATCATTATCTGTTCCTCAGGCGTGACCTTTTCATATAAAGGGAAGAAAAAATTGGTAATAGGAAACAACACTGAAGGGTTGTCATATTTGGTTCATTCGAAATTATTATTCCATGTCAGATATCATCAAGAAACACACTCTTTCTCTCGCTCAACTCTCTCTCTCTCTCTCTTCTCTCTCTCTTCTCTCTCTCTTCTCTCTCTCTCTCTCTCTCTCTCTCTCTCTCTCTCTCTCTCTCTCTCTCTCTCTCTATATATATATATATATATATATATATATATATATATATATATATTATATATTAATATTCGATTTTTTTTCATCAAAGTCTGCCTCGGGGGCGCGTATAATGCATTGATTTGCTAATCCATGTCTGTCCAATCCCGATTTATCACGATTAGGGGCTAGCTCGGAGCGCGACATTTCCCCCAGTCATTCGCCTTCCATTATAGTTTTCCGGGAAAGCCAATCAGCCAATCACTTCTCGTTAGAAGCCAAACCCAAAC